CTCGGGGGGGTTGGAATTTTTTTTTCAATTACACGTTTGCTTGAAAAATTGAAACGATAAAAAGTGAAACGATACTTCGTGCAACGAAGAGTTATTAACTCGATATTCAATTCGACTATCGTTGGTAATTGACTTGTTAAAAAGTACTCACGTGTCTTTTGACGTTTGTATTGTAAAATTGGAAAATCAAGACAAATCTATTTGATTATCTAATGATTATCTGCGATAAATATCGGATGTCAAAAATGGGAATTGTTTCAATTTTCCAGAGTCATTCCCCATATTTTTGCAACTGATTATCAAAAAGCGACCATTAACCATTCCAGACATGAACCATTTCATGTTCCGTCAATTATTTACCATTTAATATTCCGCACATATTAATTTAATTTAATTTGCAATCGATTAATTGACCTTTTACTGTTCAATATCACAATTGCCAGTCATGAGTCGGATTACTTTCTGCTAGTCAAAACCTGACAGACATCGTCAATCGTAACGCGACTCTTCCCAGTTTCACGCGACGCATTGAAAATTCGCCATTCAACGATACGTGTCTCTGCATCGAGCGAGCGAGTTAGAATTCCTCTCAATTTTCCTTGAAAGCCTTTTCTTTCCTTCGTCCACCTACGTCAGACTCGTCATTGAATCAACAGTTGGCAACATTTTGAAACGAACTTGCTCGTCCAAGTATGTATGTATCTCGAGCCTTTGCACGAATTTCCAACAGCGAAGCTCTATTTTACTCGGAACTGAAAACCGTCCCCCATTTCGCGGCGAAATCGAACGACGAGGTTTCAGAGTTTGCGTCGAAAGAAGGCAGATCGATTAGAAACGGTATCTTCACGCGTCTTCGACGTTTGACATAATCCACCGCGAAAAATTTGTCCCTTTGGCAATTCGTCGAGGAAACGTGACCGGATTGTAGTAGCTGTTCTTAAGAGGCGATACATCTCTGATTTGTAAAGTGACGTTTTTCTTTTCTCCTTCTTTCGAAGGAAGATCGTAGCTGTGGTTCGCGAGAAGCCGATACATCTAAAGTGACGCACTTTCTTTCTCTTCTCGTTTCTTGGAAAATTGAGAAACATGAACGAGGGTGACGTATGTCGGAGTGAAGAGTATTTTCCTTCTCTTCTTTTTTTTTTTTTTTCGTCTTTTTGTTTGAAGAATTTCAAGATACGAGGACAGTGGTGTTTTTCGGAAGAACAAAGAATATATATAATATTAATATTTTTATATATTTTTTTGAATATACAAAACTTTATAATTTTTTTAAAGAATTTATTTAGATTAATAATTATATATATATATATATATATATATATATATATATATATAATATTAATATTTTAATATTAAGATTTTTAAAGTGATACGTTTCTTTTTTCTTATTTTAGAGAAATTTTCATTCTAGAGAATATACTGAATGTACATTGTATTTCAGTAAAGTACGATTTGGAAGATGTGTTGATTTATTAAAATGATACATCTCCACACGACGAAATATTGTAAGAAAAGAAATTTTTGAATGAAAAATGAGGAAGACGTATAAAGGCGTTTTTTAATTAAAAAATATTCTTAATTAAAAAAGAGAGACTACGAGACTGACACTTCAAGACTAGCTTCTAGAGATTCTGCATTCAACAAAATTGCAAAGTCATAAAAGAAGGAATACGCGCATGAAAATGGAGAGGATATCGAGTTGCTTTTTTAAGATATACTGCAGCACGCATTCCTGCTTTCTGATGCACGTGCACAGAAAAGAACGGGATCGCCGATGCAGGTTCAAACCTGCACCAGAAGGAATACAGCTGCTTTAAGGAGCTTCCTTTAAACGTGCCTCGACTTTGCGCAATTCAGTAGCGAAAAAGTAGCTTTCCAAATCGTACAACAATAGCCAAACGTGTCTGAACTTGCTCGATTTTCTAAGAAAGATCTTTCATCTCTTACCTCCGCGCTGCGTCTACGATCTTTTCAACGTGTACGTTCTTCTTTTTCTCCTAAATACTTCTATAGTTTTAATTTCACTCGAGATTTCACATTTAGTGTATTTTTATTTTGAATAAAATAAACATACTTCTGTCAAACTATGAAATTTCAAACAGAGGAAGAAACGTTTTATCTTATTTAAAAGAATATATAAATAGGTCGAAAATAAAAATTATCCTAACAATTATATTTTCTATTCTGTACTGTAATTACAGTATTCTCTCTCTCTCTCTCTCTCTCTCTCTCTCTCTCTCTCTCTCTCTCCGGAATAAAACAAAATTAAATTAAAAATCGCTCTATCCGGAATAAAATTAAATTAAATTAAAAATCGCTATCCGGAATAAAATTAAATAAAATTGAAAATCGCGTCAAACTCTAATCTCATCGTCCTTAACGCGAGTTTGATGGAAAGAAACGCCATCATGTTGAGACGAAGATAACCGCGTGCAGGTCCTAACATGTTTCTGTTATAAAGACGCGCCTGAATGCGGAAGATCGCGCAAAGGAAAAAAGGCCCCGTTTCGAATCGACCTGCTTTTCTTCGCGCGGGAACGAACCTCCAACCGGTATACAATTCACTTTTTTAACTGCCCCTCTGCTGCCGGTGGAACGCCTCCCGAACTTGCTCTCTTCCGCGATATAAAAACGAATGTTTAAGTTCTCCGATGCTTCACCCACTAACCCACTTGCCAATTCGTATTAACCCTTCGACCAGGTGCGCAATTCAGGGTGCGTTACACCTTCAACGCGATTCCACTGGCTTTTACGACTGAGACGAAAAACATCAAACGCGAATTTACAGTGGATATACATTTATACATTACGATCGACGCGTTTAACTCACGTCTTAATTAGCGCCCTGTGCTGGATCTTTGATCCTTGATACGCAACGAGAGGAACGTAACTGTACCAGCGACAATGAAAAATTGCCGATAATTTAAACGGACATATTCATCGTAAAAGAGGATAGCTTGATCTCGTTTTTATAACCGTAGAGCATCCACTTTGACAGTCGAGTTCGTCTCGAGGATGATTTTTACGTACAAATTGGAAAAGCGAGGATATTTCTTTTATCGAAAAACTGTAAAAATTCCAACGTTTGAAAGTTTCTCTCGCAACTAGACTTCATCGTCACTTTGAAGATCGACGAGAGACTAAAAGTCGGATCGACGATTTTTCGTCGTCGGTATGGTTTTCTCGTTCGAACGATTCTCGATTTTTTAACGAAGCTTCGATGCATTTCGAATTGTTTTCGGTTGAAATTGAAACGGACCAACCCCCGAGTATTATCAAGCGAGTCGCGAGACAAAGAAAGAAATCGTTCTCCTCGATCGAACCATCCCGTTAACGAGATTAACCTGCCTCGAGCCACCATCTACTAACCTAAATCTCCAGCCCCTCTACCTGAACCGACATCGAAAGGGTTAGCGGAAACCGGTGAACAATGCAAGAGGGAACGGATTCACCTGCGAAAGGGTTCACTACCGCACAAAAGAATCCTGCCACTCCTGTTCTACACGCGAGAGTGTACAACAAGTGTATCACAGAAACCAAGCAAACCGAAAGGAAGAAGTAAAAATAAAAAAGAAATACTTCAATATTACGCCGATAAAATATTCCAATCTGCGCGACGCGTTTAATCAAACCTTGTCTCCTTCGATCGATCGCACCTGGCCTTTCTCACGAAACTGAGAAAGCTGAAGGAAAGGCTGCACATGCTGCCGAGATGGGCCAGCTGTGAAAATCGTATTTTCCTCGCGCCCGGTTACGTGGTTTCCGACGTGTCGTTCCACGTCGGAGAAGCAGACGACGGAGAAGAAAAGGGAAGAAAAGGGGAGAGAAGCGCAACCCTTGAAGAAAAGCAAACTGGAACTCGCAGAGGAATCCTCCTTTCACCCCACGAAATTCGTCGTATATACCCCGATCGAAACGCTCTCCCCGTCACGATTGCGTCCAATAGATCCCGGTCTCCGGGATGCACGTGCACCCATTGTGCGCGCAGGTTTGACCCTTTTTTTACCTGGAAACCGGCAACGCACGCGGGGAAGGAAACACGAACAAACATCCCGTGCGAGATGGCCTATTCAGTGCATCCCGTAAGATATGCATCTACCAGGCCTGAATAGCCTGGAAAATAACGAAATTCCGTCGAGGATTTTTCGTGATTTTGAATAATATTGAACACCATCTCTTTCTCTCCTTCTCTCTGGCTGCCACCCTTCTATTTCACTGTGTCGGTGGCAGAGTTTCAAAGGGATAGAAAAAAGGGTCCGCAGTCCGTGGGTCGGAGCCCAATGGACGTTCGTTATTATTGTGTCTCGGGGAAATTCTCTGGACCGGTCGGTCGGGGACAAAGGATTCTGCGTTCGGACGGGTGAAGTTCCGTTGAAGAGCAAGGATTTGGATATGGAGAATCAGTCGCGAGGGGAGATCGTGGCGGATCGTCTCCATCTTTGATCGCCATCAGGAACATGTTTCCTTTGTGGTTTTGGTTAACGTTCGTTAACCAGCGATTTCAGTTTTCGTTCTTTTTATGACGAATTACATTTGTTTAGTAAGGTTATTCGCGAGAAAGTAAAATTGATTGAAAAGTTAAAATGAATAATTGAGATGCTGTAGTATTGTATCGTTGTACGTGTATTTCATACAGAGAATTCTTCATTCGTGTATTATTATCATATCATATTAAATTATTAAATATTCATCAAAAGATCTTTTTGGTATTTATTGATAATGATGCGTGCATTATCATTGTCAAAGAATATCTTCGTACTTGTTCGTAATGATATTCTTTTTACTTGCTTGGTTTGTATATTGCCATATATTTTATTCATTAATCGTCGTTTCATTTTATTGAATTGAAAATTAAATTCACAAAAATACAGTAGTACACTAACAACAAGAGTAACAATTGAACTGAATTAAGTGACTCTTTCCAACTGTATGTTTAATTGTGGATCGAGTTCGTTAGATTATATGCCTCGCGGCATCCAAAACATCATATCACTCACCTCCAACAATGCACGTGCTCGAAGAAAGTTGAACGTTCTCGCCGCTTGCCACTCTCCTTTCTGCAACAAACTTTAAGAAGAAAATTTGTTAGAAAATTGCATTTAGTGTATCCGCTTGCGTATTTTACATATCTGCTATCATGATGAATATAATAATAAATATTATATGAATAATAATTATTGTATTATATAAATAAACTAATAAACACGTCATTTATATTAATTAAAGTTACTCTGATAATTTTTGCACAAATATAAATGAGCACATTAAATTATATTAATACAATTATTATTATTAAAAAATAATTTCAATTTAAACGTATATATATATATTTAGTTAGAACATCTCTACATTATGTAAATTAATTAATAAATTTAATTTAATATCACAGAGGAAACAAAATATTAATCGTTGTATGGCTTTCTACCGTGAAACACGGACGATTCTGGAAGATTCGATAGAGATTTTCTGGCCGGAGAGATTGATGGCGGATAGAATCGCGACGTTGAAGTCTCCATTCGTCTAATCCGGGACTTCACGAGGGCAACTAACTTTGGTGCTCTGGATTGCACCGGGGGGAACCCGCCCTAATGACCGAGACACTCCGGGCCGAGAGAGCGGCACCCTTAAAAAAATATTTAATAAGCAGGAAAAAAGCGTAATACGGCCGAGCTGCTATAAATTCACCCCGTTACAGGCGGCCCCGACCCAAAGGGAGAGAGATAAAATTCCAATTACGAAGATCTCTATCTGAGAAGGCCGTGGCCGACCTGCCGAAAACGATTATACCAAGCGTCGTAGAAGCGAGAAACAAAAACGAAACACGGTAGTACCGTATTACGGGTTATTTTTCGCCCCGGGGCAAAGCCGGGCGACCATTTTTTGCCTACCCTCTTCTCGGTCGCCGGTTTTCTTCCGTTGGTTTATTTTTCTTGCCACCGGTGGCTCGCACGACGAAATTTTTACTCTCGTTCCTCGTTCCTTTTTTTTTTTATTTGAATTTATTCGTATTTATTCTGTGCTTTCGTTTCGTTGCGTGTAGCCGGCGGTGAAAGTGCCATTTAAGAGGCGTCAAACTGCGTTTACATTAAGTGCTCAATGAAAAATTGTCGATTCTTCGAACATTTGTCTCACTTGATAAAACAAAATTGTAAACTTTCTCAACGTTGTAAATCTCTGCTTCCACCAATCTTGAGTTTTTATATTATGTGTCAGATGGAAAAGCAAGGCGAGACTTTTCATTGACAAAAATTGCCTTTAGAAACGTTAAAAAAATTTTTTCCACGACTAAATCCTAGCATGGCTTTAAAGATAAAAGTCTCTACTTTATAATGGAGACTCTTTGAAACTTGCTGTATGATTTTTTTTTCGAATCCTGAACATTATCGACATGAATTCAAGAAATTCTAACATTTTGTCAAATGGAGTGTTGGAAAAACTCCACTACCATTCGTCATAAAAGAAATATTTAAATAAATTTAATAATAATAAATTGAATTTTTCAAACAATAAACTGCCTAGGTTAGAGAAAAACAGATTTTAATGTAATAAAATTGGACAACGTCAACCGATGGTAATTACACGAATAAGTGTAATCATTAAATGGCACATTAAACGCAGCGTATAATAATCAAAAGTAGTTCATCCATAAGTGGCTATTACGACTTTTATGATTGAAGTCTTACTCTTCATCTCTGGAGAAAGAAGAAGAAGAAAAAAAAAAAGAAACAAAAAGAAACCATACCGTAAAAGTATAAGAACACAAAGTCATCGAAATTTAATGAGATTCAATGACGTACTTCGATACTTAATAACATACTTGTTTCTCATCGTGCATATTGGGAATTCTAATTGGGAATATCGAGGATCTGTAACATTTAACAACTTAATTAAAGTAATTAAAAAAAAAGAGAAACTAGACTGGTCGTAAGAGAAAATACAGAACGACCCAGCAGAAAAATCAGACCAAACGAAAATGATGAATAAAAGCAGTTCTATCAGTGACGTATGGAGACGAATTCTTATTCAAAAAGTTGTGCATTGACATTTGACACATTATTTTAAATGGGAGAAGAGAAAGAAAAGAAAGAGAAAGCAAACCTAATCGTAAGATCAGACAAAAGAGACAGAGAAAAGCAGTTCTATGGAAGACGAATTTTAATCCAAACCTCGTGTCCATTGAAACACCTCCAAACACCACTTATCTCACCTTCTAAAACACTTTTCACCTAAATTACCTAAATTAATCACCGAAATTAAATTTAGGTCGAAACAAAAAAAGAGAAAGAGAAGAGGAAAGCAAACTAATCGTAAGAGAAAATACAGATCAGACCGAACGAAAAAGACAGAGAAAAGCTACTTCATGTGGGTGACGTATGAGGAAGAATTCTAATCCAAAACCCCACTAAGACATACACCTAACCTTCTGAAACACTTAAATTAAATTATCTAAATCAATCACCTAAATAAAATCATCGCTAAATTAAATTTATATGAAAACAAAAAAAAAAAGAGAAAGGAAACTAATCGTAAGACCAAACACGACAGAGAAAGAGACAAAGGAAAAAAGTTCTAATCTCTCCCCTCTAACGGGGACGAATTTTAATCCGAAAGCCCATCATCGTCTCGCCACAGTCTTCGTTCCCTACACCGTATAAAACAAACACGTAAACAGGCAGCGCCGTGTAAGCAGGTAACCAAATCCGTGGAGGGAAACCTGGTATCTCGATCATGAAATCAGTACGATTACACGGCGGAGCGCGAGAGGGACAACCGGGGGCCGTGGCAGGTCGAGAGGGGAAGGGGGGCTGAAACGGAGAGAGGGAACGAAGGTGAGAACGAGAGGGTGCGACACAGGGGAGAGAAGGATGGCCTTGTTGGATGCACCTGCCGGTGACGTCAGAAAAGGGACTTCTTGTTTCGAGCTGAACAGCCCCGGGGGTTACTACTACTGTTTCAGTCAGGAGAGGGGCCCGAGGATCTCCCCGAGCCTCTCCCGCATCGCGTTCCTCCTTTTTTCTCTTCCTTCGCAGAGCACTGGCTACACGAGCGCGCCAGAACACCGCTCATCTTCCCTTTGCCCGGTCATTATTTATATGCTAATGAAAAACCCGCGAAAAAGCGCGACGTTCGAGGTAACTGGCTTCGCTGCTACTGCCAAGGCGAAGATACATCGGAGATATATCGGAGATATATCGGTGGTGAAGAAATCCGTTGAAACTTCGATTCGATCGGTTCGATGATGTAACCAAGCCGCGCTAAATAGACAGATCCACCAGATGTTTATGCAAATTTTCGGGTGTCCACGGAGCCACGAGATTACGGGATTTCTTCTCTTCGTGGTTTTTTTGATTTTCTTTTTTTTTTTTTTTTGACAGACGGGAAGAGGAGATTTTGTGGAGAGAAGAGTGAAATTGCGTGTTGCAAGTCGTTTTGGGACACTGGAATTACTAAGAATACGTAATTTTGTACTTTAATCACTCTGGTAGTTCGAAGAATGACATTCAATATATATTCTGCGAAAAATTATTCAAATTTACACTATGACATTAATTATAAAATATAATAGAAAAGATCAAGAATTGACGATTCAGATCACTCTGATATTGATATTCAACGTTTGTTGTTGACGATAAAACTTTGAATTTGCACGTGTATTTTATTATTAATACTTTAATATAATAATACCAAAAATAATATTATAAAATTACGTCTGTCTGTTAAAAATTACGATTGTTAAGTAACCTCCGAAAAAGAGTTCTCCTTCCTTCTTCTTCGAAAAACCTAACCTAATTCCATTTAATCGCTCCCTCCTTTCGCGACGATCCTTCTCGATATCTGATTTCGCGGTATTTTTCTTTTCTCTCTCTCTCTCTCTCTCTATCTCTATCCTCCAAAAAGACGAAACGACAGTTCCGTTCTCCGGTTTAGTCACTCGGGCCACGCGATATTAGATTATGCAAATGTCCGCCCGATGGAACATCGATCAGATAAGAGCGCCCAAAACCGTTTTTCGACGTTGCTGGTGGCATTAGGCGCGGCCCGAGTGACACGATCTTGATTAAAACGCCACGATACCGCATTCTATCTATTCGCAGACGTTTTCGCGGACATTTTCAATAATAAGCTTGAAACGGCACCGATTAGGTATGCATCGTCGCTGAGCGTCGAGATGATAGCTCAGGGCGAAACGATGCAGGGATTAGCCTGCTTTCGCGTTCCCCCCTCAGCTCGCGTTTCTTTGATTGCACTGTCGCTTCAGGTGAAGGCGGTTTTCTGCTTTATTGGTCGGGTTGCAGGAGAAAAGAAAGGAAAAGAAATTCTCATAACGAGCTTGTCAGCGTACCGACGTGAAACTCTAAAGAATCGTATCGCACGATACGAAGCAGTCGGAGAATTTTCGTGGCAATTTAACTGGGAGAATGCCAACTTTATTTCACTTTTCGATTCGATTCGGCTCGTTTCCTTAGGTTACGAGAGAGAAAGATTTTTAATTAGTCGTATATCACGAATTCAATTTTAAGTCTGAGAAGTATTCTTGCAATCATCTATCGATGAAAAGTTCTGTTAGTCTGTTGAAAGCCAGTTGATGCTTATGAATTATTTTATATTAGGAATTATTATTTTCAACTGCAATTATTTATTTATTTATTTATTTTTTTTTTTTTTTTTTTTTTAGAAAAAGACCAGTTGTACATCGAGACAGTCTGCGAATTAAAAGACTTTAAAAGGCTGATCGTGATATTAATTCTGGATTAGCTGCTCTTCTAGAAAGAAATTTTGGGGAAGAAAAATGGCTATCAACAAGATAAACTACATTTCAGTTGTAATAATTATAACCTCGCTTTGACAATAGTCAAAATGTATTGAATATTATAGATAATCATACAATCAATAATAAAGTAAAAAATAAAATAATGACAAAAGACACTAGACGCAGAATCATTTTCATTAACCCCATAATTTATTCAAACTTCAAAGAGACTAACATATTGAACAAACGCGTCAGGTAAATTATTTTACTTAAAGGTAAATTCCAAAACTCCTCACTTGATATTAATTTCAAAAAG